AGGTAGTATATGATCAAGAACAGCATTGAAAGAAGAGATCCAAGGTGCACTGAAATTATAGGTGTAAAACAAGTCTTCAGGAATTAATGAGTACCAAGAAATGGATCCAATTCTAATTCACAATTAGACAAATATCTGGCCAACTGACTGGATACCCATTCCAAAGAAAGATTGTCCAACAAAATGAGGAAATTATCAAACAGTATCAATATCACACACAATTAAAATTTTACTGATGATAATTAAAAAGTAGTTGTAGTAGTACATCAACAGGTTCAGTGCAGTGAATTACTATCTATGTCTCTTCTATCCATTGTCTTTGTAACTCTCATCAAACAGTTCCCCGTCCCCACATCAGTGAGTCTGAGTAACAGAAAGTGGGAGAAGATACTGATAGGATTATATAATTCAACTGTGAAGTGACCATTAAATTTTTTATGTCACTACCATCAAGAAAGAAGAGCCCAAAGTAGAGTGTGTTCTTTGGACCCTGAGATCCCTGTGCATTGAACCTCCTTGGCCCAGTGATGGAAATCTGTGACATTGGAGGAGTGTCAGAGGAGCAGCAGCAAGAACCATGAGCTAGAGCAAAAAAGACAGAGTGATGGGCTTCCCAGCTCATGGAGTAAATAAAACAGAGTACATTTGTGCAGGGGGCTCACTTATGGAGTAGGGTGCCTCTAGGCATTTAACTGATGGGGTCAGGATAAGTTTTCTGAACCATGGAGCTACAGCTTTGGGATGGGGTTTGTAGTGGAATGGCATGCCCTTTGGGCACTTATCACCAGCACCAAAAGAGCTTTGTAACAATGTCCAAGCAGGGAAGAGGCCAGAAAAGGTCTATTTGTGGCCATGACTAGGAAGAGGCTGTCCTGATTGAAGGACTGTGTTCTGAGAATTTCTGATCCTAAATTGTAACCTATTAACATCTCAAATAAACCCCTTAATCATAAGTATTGTCTCTGAGTTCTGTGTGGCAGTTTCAATGAATTATTGAATACAGCTGAGAAGTAGAGACTGATTTGGAAGGATTGGTTGGAAGAATTGATAAGGAAGGTTGGCAATGGAGGCATGTCTGACCTCAGCCTTATAGAAATCAGCCATGGGCTAATGTGGAGTTTGAGTCTCCTTCCTTCTTGGGAGTAGCCAGAGGAGGTTAGATGACACTCAACTGCCACCACCCCAAAAAGTACACTCACCCACCTTTTTTACAATTGGCAAGCAACAGAAATTCAATCTGGATTTAGAAGAGGACGTGGAACTAAGGATATCACTGCTGATATCAGATGGATCTTGGTTGAAAGCAGAGAATACTAGATAGGTGTTAAGTTGTGATTCATTGACTATCCAAAAGCATTTGACTATGTGGATCATAACAAATTATGAATGACATTGTGAAGAATGGGAACTTCGGAATCCTTATCTGTCTGTGCACATGAGGAACAAGTACATAGACCAAAAGGCAGTGGTTCAAACAGAACAAGGGGGTTCTGAATGGTTTAAAATCAGGAAAGGTGTGCATCAGGGTTGTATCTTTTCATACTTTTCCATCTGTATTCTGAGCAAATAGTGTAAGAAGCTGTACTATGTGAAGAAGACAGTGACATCAAGATTGGAGAAAGACTCATTAACAATCTTCAAAATGCAGATGACTCAGATCTTGCAAATGTTTGCTGAAAGCAAAAAGGACTTGAAGCACTTATGGATGAAGATCAACAATTCCAACCTTCACTGTGGATTGAAGAAAGAAAGCAAACAAAAATCCTCACATTTGGACCAATGAGCAACCTTATAACATTATGAATGGAGAGAATATTAACTTTGTCAAGGATTTCATTTTACTTGGATCCACAAACAATGCCCATGAAACCCTCAGTCAAGAAATAAAAGGACCAATAAATCTGCTGCAAAAGACCACTTTAAAGTGTTAAATTTCACCATAACGATTAAGGTCCACCTGCCCCTAGCCATGGTATTTTCATTTTCCTCGCATGCATACAAAAGCTAGACAAAAAAGGAAATCTGAAGAGAGCTGACACACTTAAATTATGGTGGCGGCAAAGAATATTGAATATATGTACCATGTGTGAGGGTAGAAATGTGCTTCCCTGGGCTTTCAATGGCTAATTCATTGGGGACAGATCAACAGGGCTTTTTTCTTAGGTCCTTCTGTGTGGACTGGTACTTTGAACTTCTCACCTTTCAGTAAGTAGCTGAGTGTATTAACCATAGGCACCACCCAGGGACTTCAAATCATACACAATGTCACACAGTGATAGGTCTGTGGTTGTCTCAGGGTCCAACTTTTAACTGTTCTCAACCATTTTGCACCATTGTGAATGAACTGAGCTATACCAGTAGGTCAGAAGCTAATGAAAGTCTAAGGAAGTGGGAGGCAGATCATAGCTAGAACTTTTATGATGTTGTGGTACCTTGAATTTACTTGATATAGCTTTTCTATCCAAAGTCTTCTTAATTCCCACCAAGTGATTGGGTGGGGCCATGCAAATAAGGTGTATAACACTCTAAGGCTGGGATTGGCTCGTTTTGCCATACCGTTATGTTTAAAAAGAGCCATTTCATAGGCAGGAACAAATGATCCCAGGGCCATCATGAAAAAAGAGCATGAATGGAGTCTGAGATCTCTACCCAGAAAAGCAGCAACCACAGAGGCTGTAGCACAGGGGGCAATATGGAGCAGCTGTAGGCATCTAGGCCCATGGACTGAGTAAAGCTGTGTGCCCTTCGGACATTTGCAGACTGACTAAAGGAGCTTGGTAACACTTGTCTGAGCAGGGCAGAGGCTGAGGGGCCACATGGTTGAGACACCAAACAGAAGACTGAGGCACGCCTATAGTATGGCGGACAAGAAGTGTCCCTGAGTGGAAAACTGCTGGGGACAGCATACGCAGACCCTGGGTTGATCAGTGGCCCTGTGACATGGACAAAAATCCAATTCCAAGGTCCTCCTCAGGATAGCGAGCCATGGACCCTGAGGGTCAAAGAAAGTGACCTCCTGACGTCCCGGGTTCATTGGTTTTTGCGAACTCACTGGTTGGCTACCTCTGTATAATTTTCTTTGGTCCTAATTTTGTTCATTCTATGCTTCTAACTCCGGTAATTGTAGCTTCTTGGAAAATGGTTTCTTTTACAATGCCTCTCTTAATGCCTTCACTGTGTTGGCAGTGCGTGGAGTCCTGGGAACAAATCTTTCTGAGAAACAAGCGATAGCCACCTGGGATGAATATCAGAACTGCTCCTTATTTGATTATTCAGTTATGTTTAATATCCATGGACAATAATGGGTTTGAAACCCTTTTTAGAGCCGAGGCAGTAAAAGTTTCCTCAGATAATTCAGAAAGACAAAGAACAGGTATATTGGGAATATGAGAAAAGGTTTTTAGAGAAAAACTACCCAAGGTTTGTAAATAAAGTGGAATGGTAAATTCTGGGAATGTTGGATTAGAGGATAATAGTGGCAGCCCCATTAAACCGCCTTTGAATATAATCAGTTTAATCCAGATGCTCTCCTTCCTCCTGAAAGTATATGTTGTTGTGTTGTTAAGTGCCGTCGAGTCGGTTCCGACCCATAGCGACCCTGTACAGGGTTTCCGAGGGTGTAAATCCTTACGGGAGTAGAAAGCCTCATCTTTCTCCCGAGGAGCGGCTGGTAGTTTCAAACTGCTGACCTTAAGGTTCGCAGCCCGATTCGTAACCACTACGCTACCAGAGCTCCTAGGAATGTGATAATTAAGAACAATGTAGCATTTTAGATATAGATAAATGAAGCCCGGTGCCTGAGATCTTGCTCACAAACAAAAGTTTGCAAAGTGTACAGAGACAGCTTGGCTCCTTTCAGGAACCTTGCTTTATGTTAAGTATCCTTAAGAAACCGCATGTCGCTGCTCTAGATCATTTAAGCCTAAAAGTTAATATATAACAGCTTGATTGAACCTTTTTCCTGTAAAAATAAAAATGTTAGTTGTTAAGAAAAATTATGAAAATATTTTAAAAGTTGTTCCTGTGAATCATTATATCCTGTTTTGAATGATTAATCACATTTCAGTTCCACTATCCTGTCTTAATCACATCCTCCCTTTGTGAATTACATCCTCCCTTTGTGAATTATATCCTTCCTTTGTAACAAATCCCTCCCTAAAAAAGAGAATAAAAGGCTGAGGTAGAGTGAGTTCTGCATGCAATGCTGTGCAATGCTAGGCAATATGTTTGCATATTGTCTACCTGCCAGCTTGCATCATATCTATGTGTCTGTCTTTTTTGTATGTATTTTGTCTCTCTCTTTCTCTATCGCTTTTGCCGCCAGATCTCCCTTCTTCGTGACACCCACACTTCCTTGTCGAGGCTAGACCCCAACATAGGACCTCGACAGAGAACTGCTGTGTCTTGAGCTGGTTTTGGTCTTGAATTGTACCCTGGTCCCTTCCCTAATAAACCCCATAATCATGAGTATTGTTATGAGTTCTGTGTGGCTATTGCAATGGATTGTCAAACTGAGATGTGAAGCAGAGAGTGCTGTGTGAGGAATGGTTGGTGTCAGAATAAGGTTAAGAGGATTGTAGGGTTGAGGCATGTCTGACCTCTGCTTCATAGGAAGCGGCCTTGGGCTGATACTGAATTTGATTCTCTTCCCTCCTGTGAATCCAACAGAAGTCACACATGATCGCCACATGGTTTTTATTGATACGTTTTATGGCTTGCAAACCATTTTACATCCGTTATTTCCTTTGTTTTTTATAGCAATTCTCTTCAGGGAAGAAAAGGCAAATTATTTAGAATGTAAATGATCTAAGACTACACAGAGAAGGCAGAGCGGGGATTTGGACTCAGTTTCCTTTGAGTCCAGTTCCTTTTATTTTTCCTTAGAGCCACTTCTGTTCTGTCCCCTCACTTCTGAGCAGGCCTAATTGTCTTCAGAATCCATTCCATGTTCCTGCTTGCATCTCTCTCTCCACCTCCCAGTGTGCTCAGGCCCAGCAGCATCAGGCCCGAGGAATAGCACAGATGCGGTAGCTGACTGGAGAAATGGTGAGGCCTGTTCTGAACTTCAGGCTCAGTTTTTCATTGGCTGGGGGCCTGAAGGTAAATTTTTGCATAAGGGAGGTGAAGAAAATAAACATCTCAGATCTGGCCAACTGTTCTCCAAGGCAAACCCGTTTTCCTGAAAGGCAAGAACATAACGTTGAATTATCTTCCCAGGTAGAAGATGTGCCTGGCACATGCCTGGCAGGGACTGAAATCTTCTCCTGCCCTCCAATCCTAAACAGAAGAAAAACCTCCTTGTCCCCATGGCTTCTTATACAGTGGCTCATTTAAGTCTGACAACCACCTGGGTAAAGAAAGGCACAGAAAGTAAGTTCAGATAACAAATCCAAATGCCTTCTAGGGTCGGGCCCAGGAAGCACAAGAGTGAAGGTGCCATTATAGGAGACCTGGGTTGATCTAGGTAGTGCATATCTAGCCTAAAGGTTTTTAAAAATTAACAAACAGTAGTGACAAAAGCAGACAACAAAACAATAAAATTCTATGTGAAAATTTTCAGTCCTTGAAAGGAAACTCTCCAAAGGTATAAACAAGTAAATGTCAGAACTGGGATTCTAAAGTGCAAGGCATTTCTACTTGGTAATAGTGTTCCCCCAAATCTGTATCCCCTTAAAAGTCAAGAATGTGATCTTTTTTCAAAATAGGACAATTGCATCTGCAATAAGTTAAGATAAAATGATGCTGGCGTAAGATGAGCCCTCAATACAAAATAACTGATGTTCGTGGCTCCATGGGAGAAACAGGTGTTTGTCTGTCCCTGTAAAGATGGGGGTCTTGGAAATCTCATGGGACAGTTCTGCTCTACTGAGTCGCTGTGTGTTGGAATCAACTCAGTGACCATGTGTTTGGTTTGGGTTTAGTTAATTCTATATACTGCTGTTGCTACTATGTTGTTTTCCTGTGTAATTAAATATTATTAGATCAACTTTATATCTTTATTTTATCCTCTGCAATAAAGGCCTGTAGAAGAAATAAAATTAGGTGATGCATACAAAAGTATTCATAAATGTAAATGTGCTTCACAATTTTGCCATTATTCTTTTGTGTTTGTTTCTCCCAACTGTGTGTCTAATTCATCTGTGTTTCCCTCATCTTTATCTCTTTACTCATCACAAATAGAATAATTAGCAAATTTGTTAAAGTAGTGCTGAATCAATGTATTGTAAATGCCTGAGATCCTTCTAGAAGAATACAAATATTGTGACAAACTGAGCCTAGAGAGTCAGGAGCTAGGATTACAATACTGTTACCATTAGTAACCAGCGTGTGGTTGAAAGTAAATCATTCATTTTCTAGAGATAAACTTTTATTATTTGTCAAATAAATGAAATAATTTCTCTCCTAAATATCTTATGTAGTTTGCCAAGGATCTCAGTGAGATGGCAGGTCTGTTTATTTTCTTTTAAAAGCATGAATGTGAGGACTATTTGGTTTCAAAGTATTGGACTAGATTAAAGGAAACTTGGACATTCTTCCTGGCGCTTTGGCTAACTGGCTATCATTAACCAGCCAGGTCAGTTACCCATTAGGAAAATGAGAGAGTTGACCTAGGTTTTAGGCAAAGCTTTTTCCAACCTTATCTCCGATGATTTAATCATTTTGTGTGAGAAATGAGAAACTAGGTCTTGTCTGTTGTTTAGGTGGATCATATTATCTTTTCCTCATTTAAATCCTTCCTTTGGATTTAAGTCCTTTGGAAGGATTTAAATGAGGAAGAGAAAATATGAATGTGTAATAATATCTGCAATCTGTCCTGACTATGCGCTTGTGATAATTCTACACCAGGTCATCTTTTCCAAAAAAAGGAAGAATAAATACCTTAAGCCTTCAGGAAGGCCGTTTTTAGAAAGAGCTAGAACAAGAGTGATGAAAAGCAACTTTCTGTCAAAGTAGGAAGCATGTTGAAAAAAACAGCAAAAACAAAAAGCCAGTTGTGTAGACATTTTGTTAACTTAATGGATTTTTCATGTTTCTACTTCCTGTATGATTTAACTGGTACTCTGGTAGTGTAGCTATGGGTCGGAACTGACTCGATGGCACTTAACAACAACAACAACAACTGGTAGTGTAGTGGTTACAAATTGGGCTGCGAACCGCAAGGTCAGTAGTTTGAAACTACCAGCTGTTTCGCGGTAGAAAGATGAGGCTTTCTGCTCCCATAAAGATTTACAGCCTAGAAAACCTTGTACAGGGTCACTATGAGTCGGAACTGACTCCATGGCACATAAAAACAACAACAACATCCTTCCTGTTACATTCTCCTGGGAAGTCTCAGGACAATACTTACCTTCTCTGAATTTCATTTTTCTCAGTCAGACATTGTTGAAACCAATTAATTGTACAAAAAAAAAAAAAAAAAGCTGAGTCCAATGTTCCCCATTCCTGTATCCACATCCTTTGTAATGTGACTTCATAGATCTTCCCATAAAAAATTGTAGTCATTCTCCCTTGCCCCTATAGATTGGATTATGTCTCCCTAAAGTATGTGTTGGGATCCTAACCCCTATGCTAGTGGAGAAGGTCCAAGGTGGCCCAAACAGACTGCATTTGGATACCATCAAGTTGGTTCTGACTCATAGTGACCCTGTATACCAGCTGCTCCTTGGAAACCCTATACAGGGTTGCTATGCATTCAAACTGACTCGATATTACTTAACAAACAACATGTAGAATTGAATTATTGTCTTGAGACAGTGCTGTAAGGCCCTAACTGATTTTGCCTAGCTACTTGACCAAACTTTAGTCAGGCTTCAAGAAGCATTTTAAATAGACTAGGCCTCAGTTTTTAGTTCCCTCCAGAGACAAGGTCAATCAGTTAGCCCTCAATATTAAAATAATCCTTCGAATGACAATATCCTAAACACTAAACACTTGCAATTGCCAAAACCCATCTGCTCATAGATTAAAAAGGTTGCTTCATGCCAAGACCAATTAAACTGTAACATCTCATACTTTGCCAAATGTCAATGAATCAGAAACTGTATCTATAGTGCTGTGCAATTATACCCCCT